AGGGAGATCGGTAGGTGACTGGTGGAGAGACCGAGGGAGATCGGTGGTGACTGGTGGGGAGACTGAGGGATATGGGGAGGTGAATGGACAGGTAGGAAACTGAGGGGATCGGTAGGTGACTGGTGGGAGACTGGAGGGAATAGGTGACTGGTGGAGGAGGATATCGGTAGGTGACTGACCGGTGGGGAGACTGAGGGGGATATCCGGAGGTGAGATGGTGGGGAGACTCAGGGAGATCGGTAGGAGTGGGGAACTGGTAGGAAACCGTGGGAGACTCTAGGTGACCAGAGGGGAGACTGAGGGATATCGGTAGGTGACTGGTGGGGAGACTGAGGGAGATCGGTAGGTGACTGGTGGGAGTGGGACGTGAGGTGAGGTGATAGACGGTGATCCGTGACTGGTGGGGAGACTGAGGATATCCCGGTAGGTGACTGGTGGGGAGATTGAGGGGAGATCGGTAGGTGACTGGTGGGGAGACTGAGGGATATCGGTAGGTGACTGGTGGGGGAGACTGAGGGGAGATCGGTAGGTGACTGGTGGAGAGACTGAGGGGAGATCGGTAGGTGACTGGTGGGGAGACTGAGGGGATATCGGTAGGTGACTGGTGGGGAGGGGATATGTAGGGGGGAGACGGTGGGGATATCGGTAGGTGACTGGTGGGAGACTGAGGGGATATCGGTAGGTGACTGAGGGGACAGACTGGTAGGAAACTGAGGGAGATCGGTAGGTGACTGGTCGGGGAGACTGAGGGGAGATCGGTAGGTGACTGGTGGAGAGACTGAGGGGAGATCGGTAGGTGACTGGTGGGGACACTAGGGGTAGCGGGAGGTGAATGGTGAGGAGACTGAGGGGAGATCGGTAGGTGACTGTGGGGAGACTGGTAGGAAACTGAGGGGAGATCGGTAGGTGACTGGTGGGGAGACTGAGGGGGATATCGGTAGGAGACTGGTGGGGACATTAAGGGGAGATCGGTAGGTGACTGGTGGGGAGACTGAGGGGATATCGGTAGGTGACTGGTGGGGAAACTGAGGGGAGATCGGTAGGTGACTGGTGGGGACACTAGGGGTAGCGGGAGGTGAATGGTGGGGAGACTGAGGGGAGATCGGTAGGTGGCTGGTGGGATATTTGAAGGGAGGCCGATGGGAGATCGGTTGGGGCTGGTGGGGAGATCAGTAGGTGACTGGTGGGGAGATTGGGGGTAGCGGGAGGTGAATGGTGAGGAGACTGAGGGGCGATCGGTAGGTGACTGGTGGGATACTTGAAGGGAGGCCGAGGGGAGATCGGTTTGGGGATGGTGGGGAGATCAGTAGGTGACTGGTGAGGAGATTGGGGGGAGATCAGTAGGAGACTGGGGTGGGGGGACTTGGAACATCGGTTGGTGGCTGATGGGGTGTTTAGATACACCACCCGATGTTTAGCTACACCATCTGATGGTCTACTTGACTGATGTGCCAACTAGCAGCAAGTAGCTCCGGGTGGGAGATCCTGGTGTAGGAGACAGAAAATACTTTCACTTTCACTTTTGGGCGATTTGCGGACGTCCGATGGTTCGAGCCCCGGTTGCGTCCTACCTCAAGACATATAAGATGATGGTGCTTGTTGTTACCCTGCATGCGTTAGATATTAAGTGAGTGAGTTGGGTTTTACGCCGCTTTTAGCAATATTCCAGCAATATCACGGCTGGGGAACGCTAGAAATAGGCTTCACGCATTATACCCATGTGGGGAATCGAACCCCGACATCAGTCGGGCCTTCGGCGTGACGAGCAAACGGTTTCATCACTAGGCTACCCCACCGCCCCCGTTAAGGGGACAACACAAGCACCTGTCTGCTCAGTACACTGTCAGTCCCCATGTGCTGCCTGGTACCACAGTGGGCTGCACTGTAACACTGACATCAGTCTGGACTACCACAAGCACCTGTCTGCTCTGTACACTGTCAGTCCCCATGTGCTGCCTGGTACCACAGTGGGCTGCACTGTAACACTGACATCAGTCCCGACTACCACAAGCACCTGTCTGCTCAGTACACTGTCAGTCCCCATGTGCTGCCTGGTACCACAGTGGGCTGCACTATAACACTGACATCAGTCCCGACTACCACAAGCACCTGTCTGCTCAGTACACTGTCAGTCCCCATGTGCTGCCTGGTACCACAGTGGGCTGCACTGTAACACTGACATGTTTGAACTACCACAAGCATCTGTCTGCTCAGTACACTGTCAGTCCCCATGTGCTGCCTGGTACCACAGTGGGCTGCACTGTAACACTGACATCAGTCTGGTCTACCACAAGCACCTGTCTGCTCTGTACACTGTCAGTCCCCATGTGCTGCCTGGTACCACAGTGGGCTGCACTGTAACACTGACATCAGTCCCGACTACCACAAGCGCCTGTCTGCTCAGTACACTGTCAGTCCCCATGTGCTGCCTGGTCTCCATGTTAAATGTGCGTCATAGTACCTCAGTGGTCTGCCATATATCATATGTACTTATAAGCATAAGGCTAATTCCGCCAGGTACAGCGGATCATCTCTTATAATCCGACATGTCCAGGTGGATTACAAGGGTATTCATCCATGCTCCATGTTGATATCTTTGAAGTAGTATTGATCTTGATAGCTAAGGTAGACCCAAGGGGTATGAATTATTGTACGTCACATTCCGAATCTAACCTCCATATTGCCATTATGCAGGTATTTCGTGCACCAGAGTGGCCCAGCCGCCGAAGACGCCACATTTCACCATGCAGAGTTGCGCCCCTTTAGTGAAACATAATCCGATTATTGTAAGTTCGAATCTCAGATCTGTCCTAAATGCGATTCTAGGTGTGTCAGGATTTCACAACAGTGGTTAATGTCTTTGAACAGCATCACTTTAAACCATTTAATTGACACAAAGTGATATAACTGAAATACTGTTCTGCACTGAACAAACTGGCCCGGGTGTTGGGGTAGCCTAGTGGTTAAAGCGTTCGCTTGTAACGCCGAAGACTCGGGTTCGATTCCCCACATGGGTACAATGTATGAAGCCCATTTCTAGTGTACCCCGCCGTGATATTGCTGGAATATTGCTAAAAGCGGCGTAAAACCAAACTCACTCACTTACAAATGGCCAAACCCAAAACTCACTCTCTCAGCCACCCACTCGCTGTACTTCAGTCGTAATACCACCATGGCCGATGCTAACTGAAAACTTCCAACAAACTTGATCTGGTTTATTACCGGTGTTGGTGTACCTATTCACCAACCTCTATAAAGATAGCGTTATCTGAGCACAGATATACCAAATCTACGTGTTTCTATATAGGACGCAGAGCTAGCTCCTCAATAAGAACCGGTTAGTGTTCATGAAATGTATCAGTGTCGATGTCAGCCTGATCAAAGGTAACACTCTCAAAGTGTCGGCGTGTCAAAAGGTTACCGGTGTTTACTCGCAGACAAAATGTGTTTATTTTCACCTGTGCTTGGAACTCTCACTGTTTGATGAGTTTTCTTGAATCAAAGATATATACCACTGAAGAAACCTTTAAAGTATAGACGTGAGTCGTAGTGCGCATGTGCGTGCGTGCTTATGTGCGCGTCTGAGCTTATTAAATGCGGTGGGGGATGAGAGGTGGTCTGTCTCGTTTTGGAGTGTACGTGAGTGTGAGCGTATGTTACGATGCTTGTGGGTGTGCGAGCGTTTTTAGATCTGTTTCGATTAAGTGCAGTTAGTTAATTGTAGAAAATGCCTTTTGTCTGCCTCACAGATAGATGTTGATTCTCGGAAGTCTTTAGGATTGCTTTGATGTTTTTCTCTGAGTGCTCCGTGCGTTTATTCGAATATCTGATATACACTTAACGGAAAGGTTGGTTAATATGACTATTTGATTAACCTCTCCGACTAGAAGCCAGGCCGGGTGCTGTCACACTCCATTGGGTAGCACTGAATTGTTCAGATAAAGGATGAAATATATATTTTGGAATATACTTTTTTCACCAGAGGATGAAAGACCCTCTCAACAAACCAAATAAGCAAAGACAGCCATCAGTATATGATCTGGTTAATCTGCTCTGTCCACGATGGGACCACAGTATTTGCAAGTCTGGCTCTTCCCTCAGAAATATAACATGTGGCAATGCTGCAAGTATATATATACTCCAGATGGGTAATAATGTAATAATCTACATCGAACTTCGCTTAATGCAATTAACAAGAGGTTGTTATTCATGAAGCCGCACCTTTTATTATGCAAAAATTCCTGACGTCTCGTCAGTGAAAATGCGACACTTTTCACTGATATATTATGTCATATACATATTAAATAGGCACCTGTTATATACTCATGCCAATAATGGTTGTCACCCCCTTCAACCTTTTTTAAATGGAGAGGGGGTGTAGGGTTGGGGTGGGAGGGGGTGACAACCATTATTGGCATGAGTATATATAGAAATAAACCAAGAAACGTTGTTAATTGGACACGACTTTGACCCGTATGCATCAGGGTGGGGGGGTGCGAAATTATTGTCCCTGGGGAGTATTTCCCCCTAATCTTTGCACTTCATGATATATGTGTGTGTGCGCGCGCGCGCACGCACGCACGCATACACATACACACACACACACTCCTCCTAAATACTGGATCCTCCCCTGGGGATAGATGAATCACATTGACTAATCTACTACATACCTCATCATCGAACCGGACATCACAGCCATATACCGGCTTGGACAAACCCTACATTAACTCACCCAAACATTTTGAATCCATAGAAATATATCATTGGGTATATATATTTGGATTGACTGTTGACGATGTAAGCTGTCATTAAGCTAGTATCTTTCTGCCTTATCAATGCTCGTTGTGGGCTTAAGGATTAGTCTTTGGGCCCATTACGAGAATATGTAGAATTAATCATGTTGTACATCATTCGATAATTGTTGACTGTTGGGTTGGTATGTTTTGGTTAAAATGGTTTCAGGATACATATATGTACTGAACAGATAAATCAATTCTTACCCCACGAGTGATGTTCCCTTTTTGTTCATCAGCTGTGACGTCAGAACCATTGAATTCAGTCACGTGACTTGGAACAGTGAACGTCCACGTTAAAGAAAACACAAGCGCTACAAACGCGATCATGAGGGCAATGTTGACGATAAGCAAGGCGACTTTACAAAGACGAACTCGCTTTTTCTTCTCAATCATGGGCTTTTGGTGGATAAGTGTCACATTTAGGAAAATATCCGTAGTCTATCAGTCATCGTTAATCAGTTTACAGACCACTGCTCCGTTGTCAGTCACATCTCCGACAACAACTCTGCCGCGGAGTGGTGGTCATCACGTAGATTCGACCAAATTTCGCCTCTGATCCGTCCCTGCCGACCGTTACCCCGTACTGGAGTACGCCGGGCGGCGTTTTTCGTTTGAAGTTTCTTAAGAGCGGCGCCTTTGATGTTTCTCCGCTCCAATGGAATTGTTCCAACGTGCCCGAGGTGTTCTCGTGTTGTTTCGTGTTTCAAACCCCGCACTAATAAGTGAGATCGTCTTTCTCTTACTGTTGAAGATAAAAGAGCGTGGTCCGGCCGGGTATACCTAATAGTATAGTCAGCGAGAAGAGGGCGGACGGAATTGTTGGCACGATTCTTCAAATACGGCCCAGCAAACGGTTCCCGTGTGGGTTCGTGGCTTTCTACCTAGTTATGATGAGGATGGATTTCTATTGATATAAAGGATGTCCAGGTGACCAGTCACAAGGTGGCAGATATTGCTCTTTGCATCTGTTTTCTTCAGGCAATCAAAATTATTGGGACATCATGTATATGAATCATTAGATAACAAACATGACCACACAGTTACAAAATGATGTTAATAACAACGCTGATGATAATGACGACATAACGAGCAATACATGAATGGTAACATGACATCACCCACGACAATAAGAATATTGATAACAACAGAAACGATAACGATAATTACAATATCCTCAACTCATATGAATAAACAGGCAATGCTGATTACACTACGCCTACACCCATACCTCCTCCTACTACTACTGCGACTGCTACTACTACTACTGCAGAGAAGGCTACTAGGGACTGTTACTGTTACTACTACTGTTACTACTATTTCTACTACTACTACTACTACTACTACTACTACTACTACTGCGACTGCTACTACTACTACTACTACTCGTGAAGATCCGGGTTAGTCTTCAGCAACCTATGCTTGTAAAAGGCGCCAGGTCGCTGACCTGGTTAACACATGTCATCGTACTCCAATTGCGTAGTTCGATGCTCATGCTGTTGATCACTGGATTGTCTGGTCCAGACTCGATCATTTAAAAACTCAAATATTGCTGAGTGCAATGTTTAACAACAAACAAAACAAATTACCATTAATATTACTATTACTGCTACTACTAGAACTACTATTTCTATTGGGACTACTACTACTACTACTACTACCACCACTACTACTACTACTACTACTACTACTACTACTACCACCACTACTACTACCACCACTACTACTACTACTACCACTACTACTATTACCACTACTACTGCTGCTGCTACTACTACTACTACTACTACTGCTGCTGCTGCTGCTACTACTACTAATTAAAAATAATAATGGTCCGATCCGTAAAATGTTCGTGGCGCAACGACGTCCAAATCCACCTTCAGGGAGACCGAGCACAAATCCCTCGCAGGCAGACTGCCTGATGGAAAGACAGACAGACTAACTGAAAGAGTGAAATATCGTCATTTTGTCGAGTACTCAGGGTACCACACCTCCATTCTATATGATATAGTTCATGATATAAGTATTTATCACGCCAGAATCGAAATTCATGACCCGCTAGGTAATTCAGGATGACCGAGCAATGTATCTATGTGGAGACGAACTCAAGGAACTAAAGAAGCGCTCTTAAAATATTGCGAGCTCTATTTATTTGAGACATCTCACCTACAGAAAGCTGATTTCTGAATAGCTTCACATTTGACCTTGTCAGCAATCAGCATAAATATTTCTGTTGATAGCAAACAAACTTGTCATAACGAGTTGACTTTAAGCATGTGGGGAAAAACGATATACTTCAATAGAACATCTCTATTACGAATCGGCGAAGGAAGAAACACATGTTAGCTATGCTAACGCCGAACCATGTGATGCCGGGCACCTTGGGGTATAATATTAATTACAATCATCAGAATTATTAGTTTATCTTTTCATAACCGATGTGTGAAGAGTATTCGTTCATGTAACACGCCCTGTCGTCAAGGCAGAGTAACAACATCCGCCTACAGAGTTGAATCTCGGAGTCTTATTTGCTTGATTCTCAAAAATCTTCTACCCGTCTTCCTCACGCTGAACCAGCAACTACAAACCATCCTTACTTAACGTAGGTAATCATTAAGTTTATTTCATTTCTACCATGGCTAAATCTACCACTGGTATTGCCAACTCGTGGAGAAGATGAATGAAAGAGTTGGCGAGTGGATGAATCGTGAATGAATGGATGTCTGAGCGGGTGAGTGAATGAAAGGTGATTAGTATGACTATGTTTGTGTCTGTATATTCCGAGTGACCAATGAATGTGTGAGTAGATGAATGGGTCAGGTTAAAAAGGTAACTACGTCGATGAAAGTAGTCGCTCTGCATCGTATGTAAAGTCAAAATCTACGTCAAGGTAGATCCCGCTGCAGTATATACAACCGGAAACCAAATATAGATATCCATCGTCCGTATACCAATCACTGTTGACTTGTCAACACTCACGGTTACCTAGGGAACCGATTGTAGAAAAGTAAAGGTAATGTAACAAAGATACAGCCGAGGTCTAACTTTTTCATATGTTTATATAAATCGAATGTACTGAGTGTGAAGACGTTGTGTATATCTGTTGTCCATTCCTGCACCTCTGAACCATGACTCGTGTACGGTTCCTTTATATTATCTGTCTATCATTATAATATTTGAGTGAGTGAGTGAATGATTGAGTGGGTATGGTTGCACCTCTATTCCAACGGCATCAGCTTAGTAGGAATGGGCTTCACAGAAACACTTGAACCACTCGGCTACCTACCGCCTAGGTACTTGATGTATCACGGTAGTTTCCATTCGTAACTACTCGCCTCTTTCCGTGACCTACAAGAAGCTTGCCGGAATGACACGAGTAGTTACGAATGGGTAGTTTCTCGACGAGTCCGCAGTTCTATGGTGCTGTTAAAATAGCGGGATATACACAGTGTGGTTTAAGACTAGTAGTTCAGACAGTATAGTTACTTTGCAGGGATTCAAACAGCATAGAAGTGCACCATCTATTTGGTTTAGTATTCCCCTGGTGTTACAGTGACAAGCAATCCTCAATGCCAGCCCATTAAGTGGTCTCGATTGACTAACATCGCTTGCTGGAGACCATTTAAAGCCCGGAATTCGGATCGATTCAAAGTGTACTGAACACGTAGTGTTAGGGGTTGTTGTTTTCTCATGCTGACATGTAGTGGGTCACTCTCCAGACGTGATGAAGCTTCGGCTTGATGCCTGTGAGCATCTGAAGGGGTCTGATGCAAAACTCACATTGTTGAAAGACAGATCGTGTATTTGGATTCGGCACATTTCCAATAGACAGCCACATTGCGATATTGGTGTAGAGGCGCCCACAAGGAACTTTGCCCACAAGAAACCTTGCCCACATAAACTTTGCCCACAAGGAACTCTGTCCACATAAACTTTGCCCACAAGGAACTCTGCTCACAAGGACCTCTTTTCACAAGGAGCTCTGCCCACAAGGAACTCTGACTACAACAATTATTAAGGGGATGACCGTTGCCCACAACATAATTTTTGCCTACCTTAATATTCACCTTAATACTCAAGATATATTGTTATAAAAGAGATCAAACATTAATACTTACCTTTCTACTCACCCACCTTAATACTCTGCCCAGGGTATATTGTTATAAAGGAGATCAAACATTAATACTTACCTTTCTACTCACCCACTTTAATACTCTGCTCAAGATATAATGTTTTAAAAGAGATCAAACATTAATTATTATTGCTTTTCACCAAAGTTTCTCTGCTGCTTTGTATTTCATTTTCTAATTTTAATTAATACTTAATACTAATACTTGATACACCTCAATACTAAAAGCTATTCATGTTTTACTCTATCAATGTGCCTGATATTATATACCGTTTCTGTGTAGTTCAATAAAATAATACATATTTATTTTATATAATGTATCATTATGGTGGACAAAGCTCCTCCCATTGTACAAATTGTGATGGGCAAAGTTCCTTGTGGGCAAAGTTTCTGTGGGCAAAGTTCCGTGATCCTCTGAGACACATTAAACGCAGCTATCGGCTGGCCTGACATTTTGCTAGTCATCAGTGATTACGTCTTCTCATATGGAACTTGGTAGGTATTCTCTTCGTGTTCATCAGTACGTTAAAAATATTTAATATTGGGTAATGTTGCTGTTCCAAGAAGATAATGTTATTGTACACAAAGCTTATAAGTTTCAATATAGTTTGGCATTAAATGTTAAAAACTTGTTGTTAAGTTACGGATTTGGCTATGTATGGGTTAATCAAGATGTAGGTTGTATTAACAGTTTTATTTCAAGTTTTAAGGAAAGGTGTATTGCCATTGATAACTAGTGTTTGTTTGAAAGCATATCAAGTTACTCCAAACTTCGGTTATATAAATCTGTTAAAAGTGAAATTAAATGTGAGGATTATTTATTGCTAATTACTGTACCAGTTTACCGTATGCACTCAGTAAGCTCCGATGCTTTACTCATCAACTGCTAATCGAGGAAGGACGAAAGATCGGCCGAGCATGGAGCGAAAGATTATGCCCTTTTTGTAGTGTACCCATTATTGGGTCTGAATATGACTTCTGCTTAGAATGTAATTTGTATAATAATCTTCGTCAGGACCTTCTCCCTAGATATTATTACTCTTCTCCATCTCTCCATACATTTGTACAATTGTTGTCATCTTATAATGCTTCTCTTATTAATAACTTAGCTAAATATGTATTTCTAGCTTTTAAGTAACTTTCAAAAAAATTCAACTAAATTGATGCAATGTGGAATCTAACGGCGCTTAATCATCTCTTATACATCATTTTGTGTACTAGGCACAAAAGAAACTGTGCATACAAAAATTTAAATCTAAATTTATCAAACCTGTGTAAACACATAAGGATTTAAACTCAGAGATTAGTTACATGTATCCAACATGCATGCACGTGCCACGTTCCGTGACGTCAGTGGGTTCGTCCTTGAGACGTGCAATACGTATTGCACGTGCATTCCGGGAAAGAGAAACAGAGCAAATGAATGCCACACAATACTGCCACTTTGGAAAGCTCAACCCCTGCCCTTGCGATCGTTCAAAAAATCAAACGGCTATTGAAATGCATAGCATGCCAAGGGTCACGTCTGCACAACGTCATGAGGCCATTGGGA